GGTTCCTTTAAAGGGTTACTATAAGGATTCTGATAAGGGTTCTATAAGGGTATATATAGTGTAGGGGCGTTAAGTAATTAGAATAGGGTTCCGGGGCCCATTGTACTATAAGTTTAGAGTTTGGAGTGGTTCTAAAATAGGGGCCTCAATAATTACCTATATTATGTTGCGGGTTCCTTTTTATGTTTATAGTATAATGGGCCCCAAAACTCCATTCTAATTATTAAGGCCCTACATTACTGTTGCTGCCAGTCTTCCAATTCGCTTCCGGTGCTTTCGCAACAGCAGTTGTAATTGCAAAAGGACTAGTGACTAGTAAACACGAAGCTGAACTCTAGACCCTAAGACAGCAGGTGGTTGACCTCCCCTGTACCTGAACCTAGATACCCAAGCCCACACTCTTTTGTGTAATGGGTCCTTTCAAGAAATGCAAGAAGGATACCCTGGTATTTAGGGCTTGTTATTTTTGAGGGTCATGTACTGAAACGCCCGTTGTTCGGATCTTTTCTCATCTCCCGCCTAAACTCCGAGACCAAAACCTGACTACCTGACTGGGGTTTCGTAATGCATACTGTAAGGATACCTTACTTTATGGGTCCCTGTACGCTTGTAAGCAGGACGACATCCCAAGCCAGCTGTCCTCCTTCAAATCCCAGGCATAGACCCCCGAGGTAGGGTTTAGGTTTCAGGGGTTCAGGGTTTTAAGCTGTGGGAGAACCTGCAAGCCCACCCTAACTCCCAGACACCTTCAATCCGAAGCTACGCACCTACTTGGTGGTTCATGGGTAGTTATAAGAGGGGTTATAAGTAGGATAACTTTAACCCACGCTGCAGCCATGTGGACCTAAAGCTGACACCTAACTCTCTGGCATTCTTGAAGCCAAACTTCCGATTCGTTGTTCAGGTCCGCCTCGACACAGTCCTTCAAAGCCACCTTCGAGCGACAGGTGGGGCTTCGGGCTTTTGAGGGTTCTTTATGGGCTCAGCGGTGTTTTTCGGTGCGGGTGGAGGGTTTGGCGTTTGCAATTTAGACAAGCATTCAGGGTCAACATTTGTGCGGTGTAGGCTTTCTCCCCGACACGACTTCTTTGAAAGGCAGCACGCGTGGGTTTTTTGTTGTCATCGCGCGCTCCGCAAGGAACAGTATGGCGGGACTCTGACTCGGAACCCAGACCCCGCCTAATGTAGGGGCCTTAATAACTCCCTATGATTACTATTTTTGGGATTCCTGATTATGATTATATAGTATAGTGGGACCCAAAACCCTATTCTAATGATTAAGGCCCCTGTATTATATATACCCTTATAGAACCCTTACAATAATCCTTATAGTAACCCTTGAAAGGAACCCTGTTCTAATTATTAAGGCCCCTACCTTAAGCCCACCTAGGACCTAGACCCAAACCCCAAACCTCGAGCTCCAATCCCAGATACTTTAAACAAGCACTAGATGGAAGACACAGCGCAAGATCGTTTATCGGAAGCCTCAAACTTGCCTAATGTAGGAGCCTTAGTAATTAGAACAGGGCTGTGGGGTGGTATATTATATGATAGTTGTAATAAGGAGCCCCCCAGAACCGTATTCTAAGTATCAAGGCCCCTATATTAAACCCTAAACCCTAAACCATAAACCCTAAACCCTAAACCCTAAACCCTAAACCCTTGTGCCTGCAGGACGACCCGCCAAGCCCTCCCGCCCGAGCAGAAGTCGCTGGAAGCAAAGC